TTCCAGGGGGTAGGATGTGGGAGGTTAGAGATAAAGGGGGAGCTGATATCAAGGAGTTCAAGAAGAAGGAAAATGTTTGAAACAGATTGTGGTAACAACTGTACAATATGGCTTGATGTGATTGAACTACGGAATGTGATATTTGTACGAGCTCCCAATAAAATGATTAGAAAAAAAGGAATGCCGTGACGATGTGGACTGATGCAGTGACACGACCAGTGGACTCAAACATAGGATTGTGAGGGTGGTGCAAGACTGGGCAATGCTTCATTCTCTCCGTGGAGTCTCCACGCGGCGAAAGTGACTAACCCAGGGACACTTACCAAAAACATTCCTCTGTCCGAGCCATGAACACTCTTAGAGAAGATTTACATGAATTAGCACTGCCTCCTTTACCTCTCTGAGGCCCATACAGAGTTAGTATCACAAGACTTAACATCAAGAACCATAACCACCTTTGATCTTGCCTCCGCCCTTTCCTTGAAAGCTGACGGTAACAGATAAAAGCTTTCTAAGTCACGTGCACTGTGTTTCACTACAACTGTACCCAGTTTCACACTACAATTGATCCTGGAACAACAGGGTAAAAAGAATTATCAGAAACGGAACAATTCTTAATCTTCTGTTGACCAGAATGCCTAGGCTAACAAACTGTTAATACATATTTTGTATGTTATACAAAGTTATATGTATAATACTGCGCCCACATAAATGTTACATTTTCTTTCCTTTTTTTACATTTTCAATACAAGATAAAAAGCATTTCACAAGAAGTACAAGGTTTTCACACTAGCGGTGTTATCTTCATTAATTTTCTTTTCTTTTTTTTTTACAATGATCTCTATTCCAGCATGAATTTATTTTCAACAGACCTCAGTCTGCAGTACCTATCAAGCAATACCACTTTTTCTTATGGCATCATGACTTTTCTCTCTTCTTGCAAGCATTACCCAGCATCACCAGTGGCGTGCCTTAAGGGTTCCGTGGTGTTAGTCAAAGTCCAGGACATTGTGTGAAACACAATGAGAGCCGTGCAAGCACCCCAGAAGGTCACTTGTACTGCAGTGCCAGCCGCTCAGAGGGAGGTGATTAGTAACACGTTACAGTTGTTATTATTATTATTTTTATCCAAGTACCGTCCAGTTCAAGCCCATGCTGTCCAAGGGTCAACTGTACTTTCTTCAAGCTCAAGAAAGATGACATTGTCCTATTCAGCTCTTTCTTCCAGTACCTTACCCCAGTTTACTCTTTATGTTCCCTGTGTTTACAACCTCGCCCCTCTGGATTTCTTTCCCTCATCACCAAATTGCCTATATTTCTTCTTGTTTGCTCTCAAATCACCCAATTTCTAGAGCAGACTTTAGTCCAGAGTGTTCATGCAGCATTATCCTTAATAGCTAAAATCTGGAAACCCAACAACCCATCAGCACTAGAACAGACAACTTGTCATATAGCCCTACTGTAACTTAGCAGTGGAAATGAATAGATGAATTTTGAAAACATAATATTCAGTCAAAGTAGCTAGTCCCAGTACATACTTTAAGACTCCACTTTTATAAATTAAAAACACAAGTCGAAGTAAACTGTGAGGCTTAGAGATGCATGCTTGAGTAGGAAAGTTTTAAAGAAAGCAAAACAAAAACCATAAAACAATGGAGGGGGCAGGTGGTAAGCTTTGGGGTGTGACAGTGTTGCACTTTT